TATGTCGTCTATCAAAGTTATTCAGCATATATACTGATACCACTTCTTTAATTGTGTTAATTTCTACTTTTGTTTTTAAACCTTTCGATAAGTCCGTGTATCCCCAATATAAGAAAAGAGTACGATTCGACAACCAGACGAAGATTTCGCTGTATCGAGGTCATTCTAGTATATACAAGTCATTTACAAGTACACATTTACAATAAATAATGATATCTGAAACAAATATGGTAAAATACGGCTAGTGGGTATCTTGGGGCTGCATTTCATTTCCAGATTTTTATTTTCTTTTTTGTTATGATCAACTTTTCATTTGCGACATCTTTTAGTGTTTATATCTGACATTTTTGGTGTTCTCACTTTTAGATAGTACCTTTAATAATAGATTTCAAGATTTTACCTATGAAAAATATAAAGGAATAAATTAAAAATAAATCATTCCCGTCAATCCGTAATTCATATTTTTTATATCAAATTTTTACATGAATAGCTATTTATAACTGATGTACTAAGGGACAAAGGTACTTAGTTCCATTTTGTGACTCTTTGAAAAGCATCAAATGTAATAATTTGTAAATATAAGTCATCAATATATTTTAAAAGGTGATTTTACTCACAATATATGCAAGAATTATACGAGGGTCATACAAAAATACGTAGACAATTTGCTAATCATCCTATTATTATTATAAGATTATAGATCAACACAATTTCGTAAATAAAAACATTTTTTTTGTCGAAGTGTAAAGTTTTTACCATTTAATTAAATAGAACACATGTTAGCCATTTTTTTAAAAATCAAAATGCTTTGTTACCACGGAGTACGATAAACCAACACTGTAACGTCAAAAACATCGTCGAGAGAGTTGCTCAAAATTACTCTGCTTTTCAATTTTATACACTGTCTGCATTGTATACTTCATTCATAAAAACATATCCATAATACTTGACACCTAGTTTATGAAAATTATGCTAATAGTTTGAATACGATCGTCCGCTTTTTTAAATTCTTAACCGCGTAATTCTATTAGTTCCGCAATAGTGAGTCCTTTGACAAGATGTTTAACTATAACCTATTATTTGCCTACTATCCGTGGTGCGATTCATACTTGCTACTACTCAAAAATTGAACTTCCTATTTATACAAATATACGGCTTATTTTTCAAACATTTCCTAGTATATACAGAATTTTAAAGATAGTTTTAAAAAAGTTTTATTGGTACTTGCTGCTCCGTGGCGTCCTCCAAAGTCATGATTTTTTTCCGTTTTTTAATAAAATCCATTTGTATTTAGAAACTGATATCTTTTGAACGGATCTATATATACATTGTATTACACTACCTGATAGCATTTAAGTAATGCAGCAAAACATAATTTTCACATAACTTTTCTTTTTTATTTATCAGAGATGTGGCTATACTTTTTTATAAATATGAAGATATCTTCCATTTACTACTCAGATTATAAGAATTTGTTGTTAAAATATTTTTACCGAATTTGGATATAATATGACGTTAAAAAAAAGTTACGACAAAAGTCTACGAACCTTTTGAATAACCCTTTTACATAAATTAATGCAGTTCAAATTTTACAGAAGTCTGTACATATTCGATGTTGGAAAATGGTTTGTATTCGTCCAGCTTTCTTGGGAATTTTTCTGGGAGAATGGCAACAACTTCATTGTCTTGAATTTTCACCTCTACTTCTGCTCACGCATTATTAATAATTTCCAGGGGATTTTTTTTCCCTGGGTCTCAAGGAGTCCGTAAATTTAATATTATGTTTCTGCGAAAATTGCTCGTTTGGTTAGCCTTTCACAGGGCAGCCTTAGCCACATTTCATTCTCCTCAACTCAGGTCGATTGTGCAAATCCTTTAACGCTCCGTTGCTCTTGTTATGATCACGTTTTATTGCTCTTTTGTCTGCTTCAAGCTTCTCTATGCTCTCTTTCAACTGTCTATTTTTTTTTAAGTTCTCAATTTTATCATTCAACTTTTTCAATCTTACCTTGATGTTTTTGAAGCACATCATCGACTACATTTTTTATGAGCTCCTTCACATCATCAACTCTCAAAGTTTTATTTAAATCACTTTTATTTCTTTCAATTGAACTTGAATCCGTGTACACTCAGCCTCACCTCCTTTTATTGGTGCTTTCAATACTGGACTCGGCTTTGAGCTAGATTTATTTGGTTTTTCGCCCTCTGTGCTTTTTCGTGTGAAGACACCGTCTATTTTTAGTTACAACTTTCATTACTTACGGCAGATCTACACAATTCAGAACTTACAAACATTTCTGAACAAGCATGCAAATGTAATTTGTATGTTTGCAATTGTCCAGCAGTGACAAAGGAAGTCTTTAAAACTGTTTTGTAGCCCATCTTTACCTAACACTCATTCCTGACCGAAAACTCCGCACCCTGCATAACACTGTTTTCCCCTTCAAGCGCCATTTTAGAATTCTACAGCTTAGCTAACTTTAAAATATTGAAAAACAGGTTTTTGAAACAAAAATATTAGCAGTATCGTTTAAAGTCATAATTTTGTAAGTTCTCAGTCGTAACAATGACCTTACAAAGAAATTCAATTTATCATTTAGTAGATTGCTGACTAACATTTTACTAATTTTTTGGCCATTCTTCACACATTGAAATGTCGCTTGATTTTTTTCATTATTTCCAAATCAAGAAAAGGAGCATTTTTGAAAATTGGAATCATCTGGTAAAATTCCTATTGTAGTATGAATACATTTAAACACAATAGTTGCTTGTGAAGTTTTGTATTATTGGGCAGGACTGGTTTGTACCTAAATATACCTAATTGCTTGATTGATTGTATGTTGTTTTGCGTCCCGTTTACCATATAGAGACGTAACCATATTCTGTTGAAGGGCTTCAAATTGTAACCTTCGCAGTACAGTTAAGGCAACACAGGAAAAAAAATATGGTAATGAGGTCATAATGAGGTCTGACGTCATGAACAGTTGCTCCGCCCTGATTGATCCATTTATGGAAATAGAGCTCAAAATAACTTTTTTCCGGTGTTTACAAGAATTTGTAATAAACGGCAATATTTTCATGTTTAAATAAAAAAGAATTAGTGATTTTCTCGTATATAAAATATCATGTCTTTAAAATAATTCTCTTTTTAATGTGTCGTTTGGCTGCATTCGGCTTCAGCCAAGCGCTTGCACTCGATGACATGGAATGTTGTTTACATCTAAAAACGTGGCGACATCAGCTGAGATTTGCAGTGGATTTACATGCATTAAGCAGGTTATCTCTAGAGAACATAGGGATAACATGTGAGACAAGGCATCGTTTACCCCTTTAACGAGAATATGAGGACAAAATATCGGAAAATAATGGAAAACATAGACATCTGCACCAGCTCAGCTCCGTAGATCCAGGCCAGGTATGTATGCGCATCTATACGTAGGTAAATGTGTAGATCTACAGTATGTAGACATGCTTTTGTTAACATCAAAGAAAAAAACCCGAGTGTGTGTATGTTCATTTAGATGTACACAATCAGTGAAAAACTGTAATGCAGTGCCTTGTGTGTAACCCCCCCCCTCCCCCATCCCCATACAAAGTTGCACACTGTCACTGTTTAGAATTATTAAAATTTAATTTCACTAAATATACACTGAGTTCAATTAGTTCATTTTCTTTGAGACTATATGACTTTTGTGTAGTAATGGAATTCATCAGTAACACACATTTAACCTAGGGTAAATTAAATAGATGTTTTTATTGTTTCCGTCAATGATTCACTAAGCCTAAACAAGTAGTTATGTTGTCTTTTGATAAACAAACATGCTACACAATATACAAAACTTATCAGTATCCTTATGTTGAAAACATAGAACCTCTGCTTCAGATCTATGGTTGTAATTTCCTAGAATTTCTAATATAACGAAAAAAAAATATTCATTTTTTGTTTACATTACATGTACATTAAAAATATTCATATATATATAATACTTTTATCATTGTAGCTGGCAAGAGCTTCAGGCTAAAAGAATGAATAAATAAAAAATACATCAATTTCTCCACAGGCCAGGGTATGTATACTTCTAGAGCATTTCACATTTTTTTAAGTATGCATGTGCTATGTAATTTTGTTTTTCATTTTGGTAAAGGCGAAACTCAGAATTTTTTTTTTAATTTCCTTTCAATAATCTCAATGGTTCACATTCTGATAAAAGTTTTGGAACACAACTTTTTCCATTTATATGAATAACATAAATTCACCACAGTATACAATGTAGCATGATTAATTTTTTTTTTTTCAAAATATGCCATCTTATTCTACAATGTATATTTAGTAATCCCATAGCATATTACTGCATGTATATTGTGTTGTAGGCCTAGCCATTACCAAAAAATTGGACCAATGGATCCATTTAAGCATGCAGCAAGTCAAGCAGTTAATCAATCATAAAAGGAAAATGGTATGCATAATATCTGCTATAAACCATACAGTATTCCTGGCAAGATTATTGAACTGTTTTAATAATAAAACTATCAGTAGAGTCGCAATTAAGTACAGTAAAACTCGGTTATGGCGAAGTCCTACGGACCTGTTAATTTAATTTGCTATATCCGCAATTCCTTATAACCGTATAACGAATTCATAAAACCATATAAAGCGAATTCGCAATTTGCATGTTTTCCTTTAAGTATTACTACCAAATATGTTAGGGAAGCAAATATTACAAAAGATACCTTCGATAACTAAGGTTTTATTGTGAACTGAATTATATATACAATTCCATGAACAAAAATAAGTCAGTTCAATTTATCAAATTTTGAGATCTTTAAAAGTTTGTCTTAAAGATGTAAATTTCATTATATTTAACCTCAACGGGATCCACAATCAGTTCGCTATATCCGTAAATTCGTTATATCAGAGTTCGTTATGCCCGTAAAATTTTACAAGGATTTGTTAAGAATTTTGCCGGGGACCCATTAAAAACTTCGCTATATCCGTGTTCGTACTAAACGAGTTTTACTGTATATAGATATGCATTCTATGTTAAATGTTTCATTAGACAATGCATTTTTTATTTCACTTTTTAAAACACAAATTACTTTCAATAATGCTATTTCCTGTTTTTCTCATATTTTCAGAATTCATTTTATCTACATGAACATGAAGTGATGGAAATAATTTGCACCTGTCCAGTTTTCCTACAGTCTGTCTTTGAATTCGAAGAAAATGCTTCTTAAATAAATTTTCTAGATAAATAATAATTTGACTTTTTCATATATTTACTGTACAGGTGTTGATATTGCTATTAAGATTTGAAAATCTCAACTTACATATATATTTTTTGTGGAGGGTATCAGTGTCAATCAAGATCATATTTCCAGTATGTACATTGTGTTAATCTGATTATCAATAATAGCACCAAAAACAGGAGACTAATGATCCCCTTTATTGATTCAAAACAGGATAGGGGACCACCATTTGATTCTAAGGGGGAGGGGGGATGCTGGCAAGTTTTCCATGTCAGATTTTTCATGTCAAAGAAAGAAAGATTAATGTTTATTTCCGATCAATAAGATGACAGACAGATTATTTATTTCCATTTTCATTGAAAAGTCTAACAATCAAAAAAAAATAAAAGGGGGGGGGGGATCACTAGTCTGCGCCAGATTATTATTTATTTCCTCTCCAATCGTGGACAGATTATTTATTTTCAACATTTTCAAGGACAAATTATTTATTTCTAAGATCTGCCAGCCCCCCCCCCCCCCGCCCTCAGAATACAGAATTAACAAATACAGGAGTATACCCCAATCCTTTCCAATTACTTCCTAACTAATAATTAGGTTTAAATCCTCTAAACAGTAGGAGGTCTAATTGAAAGCCATTGTAGAATCTTGTTTGCGGAAAAACTTTTTTAACACAAGTGTATGTACCATAGGCGTCTGCAACAAAGTGAAAGTGGGGGGGGGGGGGGGGGGGTAATTGAAAGGGGGGCTAAACCAACAAATAAACATGATAAAGGTAAACTCCAATTTTAAATGCCTATGTTATGTAAATAATTTGCAAAATTAACGATGGGGAGGGTAAGCCCCCCCCCTTGTTCCGACGCCTATGCATATAGTAAGAGAGGGGTATATAGATATCTAATTAATCATAGACGTGTGCTATATTTTTCATAACCATTTGTGTTTTACATAAATAGTGCGGCAATATTTAGACCTATTTGTGTTTAATCCTATATCCACATCTTTGAGGAAATGCGGGAGGTTTGAAAGACGTCTTTTAGCATACATTTTATGTATACAATGTATAGAGAACGAATACACAAAGTAAAAGAAATGACAAGGATTTTTATGCAAACCGTTTTGATTTAGTAAAAATAGAGTCCAAGCCAGTCTGCACATATTTTTTTTAAATTTACGAGGTAAACAAACTATATCAAGTACTAAAGATTTATCTCCCATGCTGGGTCAATGATGCGTTTGAAAATTATAATTAGATTGACTCTTCCAAGATTTCAATTTTCAATCAAAAAGTGCAAGGGCAAGGCGTCGATCAAAAAAGTAGGTTTTTATTTTAAACTATTTATTTTATTGCATAGTTTTAAAAAAATTGATGCTCATTTCTTTGTAATCCTTTACTTAATTTATAACTCCCGTTGAAATTAGGAAAATACCCTATTTTTCATACTCTACCGTCTGTTTTAGCTGAATAACTTAAATATTACGGAAAACTAACTGAATGAGCATCACTTTTTTAGAAAGTATAGATACCTAAGGACAAACTAAAATGTTGCGCAGTTAATTTTTTGTTTGTCTTGCCCTTACACTTTTTGGTTAAATTTGACATTTCATTTTTTGACCTAAAATCGGAACCCACGTGACCCCAGAGGGTCACATGATGTCAAAAAATACCGATGTGAAAAGCGATGGACATACTCATCAAGATAACATACAGCTATTCTAACTAAAGTGTCTTGCTAAAAAATAAAACTGTTCAACATTAAATGTATCGGATTCAGTGAGTTTTTATAGAAAATGTTGCCTTTACTGTACTGCGTTTGCTCTGCACTTACAGCCATTGAACAGTTATGAATCTTCATCGAATCAACGCTTGCCTTGACACTGGACCTCGGTTTTTAGGGTCTCACTCGAATGACCCGCCACTTTCACTTCAAGGTACCGAGTGCATGGCGAGTGAACAGTTGCTTCTCAGTTTTTATCGACTTCAGTCAGTCTCGGCGAATAATCGAACTCGTGACCTCCCGATCACGGAGCGAGCGTTCTACCAACTGAGCTTCCTTGAACGGTCTAAAAATATATATTGACCCATTGTTTAAAAAACAATCTATTTTTCTCTTTTTTATGTATAAGTTAATGCAACATTCTCAAAATTTCTCATACCAAGAATTAACATAAACAGAATAAGGTTTCACTTGATTAAAAAACTACTGACCCTTTACCAAATCACTCTGGTTGGTTTAAGTATTAGTCTCAATAATCTTTATATATGATTGTCAACTGTCTTTAAAGTGAATATTTTGGCAAGATGGCCAACGCGTTACGCTAACCTACAGTTATATGTTTATTAAAATTATTAATTATGGAAATTAATTTCTATAAAGTTTTCCTTTTAAAATAAGAGCAGTGACCCTGTAAAAATGACGTTAGATACATTTACATTTGCATTACAAATAATCACAGATAGGGGCCGGTCACATAATATGATTTTACTTAACCACTAGCTAGACTCTAGTATACAAAAAGGGATCGAAAGAACGTCAGCTTAAACTGGATCAAACTGAACAAAAAAATCCCTAGCTTAAATAAATCATCGATCCCTCTTGTTGCCTTACCATACCAATGGAGATCGTGATCTGCATAACTTATAATTTATACTTTCTTAGAAAGCTTCCTTCTAAGATTGAACTTTTCTAGGACAAAGGTTCTTGAGAAGACAACACAAGACAACAGATGATCAGGAAAACAGTTTTTCCCATTCAGGTAAGCTAAAAAAAATACACATTTTTTAAGGTCTTCCGCTCAGGCGGAAGACCTTCTACTGATTCTGATGGTTAAGATTATTAGGGTCTTCCGCTTCCTTCGGAAGACCCTACTGTTATTCTATTGTTTCTTATTATTCTTTTTTTTTCCTGCTCGATTTTTGACAGGCGATTTCTCAAAGACCTTTGGACTGATTTTTATGAAACTTTCAGGGTAGATACCTTGTAGTAAAACCTATGTAAACCTGTTTTCAATTTTTTGATGCATGCCTTTATTTGTGAGTTATTGCCCTTTAATTGATAATTTTTGATGTCTCGTTTCCACTAAAAATCTCAAGAACGACATAAGATATTTACACGAAAGTTGGAGAACTTGTAGCCAGTACATTGTAGATGTGCACAACGATAAAATTATAAGCTGATTTCTTAAAGTTTGGAAGCTATAAAACGGCAAATTTTAGTAATTTTTTTTCTTTGAATTTTTGCTACTTTTTGTGTAATAACTTTTGAACCGAAAATAATTTGTTAAGAAATATAATACAAAAGTTGTGTGTAATTACGAGAGATTTCATATTAGATTAATGAAAAGTGGCTGGCCCCTATAATTAGGGGTTAATAGCTCATACACGTTTTTTCTGATAGCTAAAAATATTGGTATATTATGAAAAAGTTTGACTCAAATAATTTCAAATTTATAAAATCTTGTCATTTGATATAAAAAGAAATAAACTTCAAGCTATATTTAATTGTTTTTTTAATAAAACAAATATGTGAGAAACCTTTCAGGTACAAGTTGTCTACTATAGCCAGCCAAGCCTTTAATGCATGTGTGCAGTTTTAGTTGATGCATCTGAAAAACATAGTTTTGATTCAGTGTTTCTCTGTTTTCTTTTTATTCAAATAATTTTAAAATGTGGTGATGTACACAACAATAATTAGGCCCTTGTTTAGAGGATTTTTTCAGGGTCTGTTGTTTGTAAACAACGCGCGGCAATTTGGGAAATAGGAAGGTACTAAAGACGGGATGTACTAAACATTGATTTGACCTGATTCAAAATTGTCTGTAAATATTCCAAACAATTGAATTTTTGTATAGCATAATGCGTCAAAGTCATAAAGTCTTTACATAAGTAATTTAAAATACTCAATATTATCATTTGATTAAAATTTAAAACGTCAGGTAAATAGCAGGTCTTTAGTATATCCCGTTTTTTAGTGTGCCCCTTCGAGTCGACGTCAAAATTGATCAATACTTTAGGTGACATGATTTGTAAAAGATGTCATAAAAGACTTACTGACGCCTGACTGTAGAAGTAAAATTTTAAATTTGCATTTGTTTTTTTCGCATTAGCTGTGATGCGAACACAGTTTGATAACTTTGATTCTCATTAATTTGATTCGCATTAGTTTACTTCGTGATAAT